CTGTGACTAGGAACTCAACTATGCCGAGAGCAGAGACACCTCTGTTTTTCTCTCTCTCCATTCCATGTTCTGTCCCTACCTTAAACTCAGAGCTCCTGTCAGGCAAATGAACCCGTTCCCGATTTCACACACACCAAGGTGTAACAACCCTCAGGAGCATTAGGGGAGGCTCCAGGAGAGGGACTTTTCCATAAGGCTGCCCCAGCTTACTACACACAAGAACGCTGTGAAATGTGACACGTCCCCCAGTGCCACACGCACAGCACAGCCAGGTTGATGAAGGCCCGGTTATCACCCACAGGCCTCGGGTGCCTCCCGGGCAGCTCGCAGGCGTTATCACTCGCCAGCTGCACTTTGTCTTCCTTCTCTCTGTCTGCCCAGACTTCCTCCCCACATCTCCCTCTCACAGATCAGTTTCTTAATTACCTTTATCAGAATAATACTGTTCTGCACTTCAGAGCTTTTAAATCCCCAAACGGACAGAAAGTACCGGAAACCCTCCAACACGGCACCACTACTGCCTGCCGCGGGCGGAGCCGTGCGCGGCGGGTCTGTGCTGACCCCGACACCGCCGCCACGGGGAAAAGGAGCCGGAGCAGCCCCTCGAGAAACAGAGCTCTCAGGGCCACAGCGCGGGGCAGGCGGGCACCGCCCGCACGGCTACACCTGACACCCCGAACGTGAAGTAGCCGGCTCAGGAGGCACCGCGGCTCCGAGACACCAGGAGCGTGCTGCCGCGGCCCCGCCGGCCCCGGGCGGCAGCGCCGCGCTCCCTCCCGCTAGGCCGCGGACTACAGCGCCGGACTGCGTGCGGGCCCGCCGAGCCCGGGCGCTGTCCCAGAGACTGCCGCGAGCCCCGCGGCGGGTAGGCCTTTCCCTTACCATGGCGGCGGCGGCGGCGGCGGGAGCGGCGCTCGGTCCCTCCGGTTCCCGGGCGGCCCCGCAAGATGGCGGCGCCGCGCCACGTCCGCACCCGGAAATGTCGTCACGGTGGGGGGGGCGGGGCAGCGACTCCTCCCCCCCGCCAGGGGGCGCGCTCACGCCGGGGCCGCTCTGGCCGGCCGGGGGGTGGGGTTGCCATGGCGACGGCAGCGGCGCGGAGGGACACAGGGAGGGCGGAGGTGGGACCCGGGGGGACACGGGGGGACCCGGCGGGCTGTGGGTGTGGGCGCTGCGCCGCCCTGCCTCTGACTTTGCCTCTCGGCGTAGCCCCGCCCGGTAGAGAACCAGCCGTACGACGAGAGCCTGGAGCTGCCCGAGGCCGAACCCGGGGCCCGCTCGCCGCGGGCGGGGGCGCGGGCCGCCCGCGGGGCTCCCGCCGGCCCACGGTGTCCGGCGCCGCCGCCGAGCGCGGGATCGGCGAGCGTAGCGGCAGCGGGAAGGTACGAGAGGGCGGGAGGGGGGACGGCCCAGTGACACCCCGGGACACCCGGTGAGAACGTGGTTCTCTCGCCCAGGAGGAGGCAGTGGCCCACCCCGTCGCCCCCAGCGAGGACGACGACGAGGACGATGAGGACTCGGAGGAGGATTCGTCCGAGAGCGACTCGGAGGATGACTCGGAGGAGCAGGGGGCTGCGCTGGAGGGGTGAGCGGCATCACCGTCTGGACGAGCTGGGACCGGGGCTGCTGGGGGCCGTACGGGACCCTCTGCTGATCCTCTGATCCCTAATCCCGCGAGGATGAGCGGGATCGTGGGCATCGGTACAGGCAGTTGTCTCCAGTGCCACAGGGGTGATGGTTCCACCAGGTGATGAACCAATCCCCGGCGCTGTTTGCTGTACCAAGGAGAGGCAGGGCTGGAACAACCCAAGGGGTCAGCCAGAGCCCTGGGAAGGACCATCTCAAACACATCACTCAGCTCCTGATAATCCTTCTCCTTTTCCAACATTTTCAGCTCCAAAGCCGTTGCTGACCACGTTGTTGTCTCAACGTCTTCCTTTGTGCAGAGCACTTAGCCCCTTTCTTAGCTCTGCTGCTGACAACTCCTTGTGGAGCTGTATGATCACAACTGTCCTTCTCAAGTGCTTTTGTTGGCCAAAGGTCCAAGGCAAAATAGGGCCACACATTAATCTTTGCCCATGACTCTCTTCCTTTCTTTAGTGACTTCAATCCAGCAGATTTTGACTACCTGCAAGTGTCTTCTGAAATCAAAGACCTCTTTGAATACATAAAGAGGTGAGTGTAAGGGTTTTTGTGTCAATTACTGCAACACAGTTCCCGGTCACAGATGCTGTGCTGGTGTTTTTTTGCAGATACACCGCCAAAACAATAGAGATTGAGCACAAGCTGCAGCCTTTTATTCCAGACTTTATTCCCGCCGTTGGGGATATTGATGCGTTCCTAAAGGTACAGTTTCTTTAGGTTCCTGTCCCTGTCCTGCCCCACGGGGGGCGGCGGGGGCCAGCCTGGACAGCCCCAGGGGCCGGTCTGTCACTGCACTCTTGGACATAATAGGCAGAGACCTGGAAAGGTACACCCGGTGGCTCAGTCACCTCTCACACAGCATTTAGGTAACCTGGGGTAAGGGCTGGGTTTTGCCTTCTCCAATACCACGTGCTGTTCAGGCAGCACTGTACTGAGTACATGTATCTGAGGGAGCTCACAGAGAGGCTCTGTACAAACCTCCCCTGGACTCTGCAGAGAGGGTTCTCTTCTCCTGCAGGTTCCCCGTCCTGACTGGAAGCCTGACAACCTTGGCCTGCTGGTCCTGGATGAGCCCTCAACCAAGCAGTCAGATCCCACCGTGCTCTCCCTTTGGCTGACAGAGAACTCCAAGCAGCACAACATCACAGTGAGTCAGGGAGAGGGAGGTTGCACTTGCTGCACACTGCGTGGAGTGAAACCATGGCATTTTACTCTTACTTTTGTCTCCGTGACTCCACTGTTGTGGCACAACTGAGACCTTAACTTTAAAAGCAGCAAAAATGAACCTTTTGCTTTAATCCATAGCTTTAAACTGCAACGGATCTGAGCCTTGCTTCAGGCAAATTTTGGTAGACTCTGAGTCTGTTCCCTTCGGGTGATGCTTTACTTCCCTTTGGTCGTCCATACCTGGTTTTACTTGGCATTTTGCCTGCAGAAATCCACTGATAAAGTGCAGCTGGAAAAGAGAGAAGCCCTGGTTCATCAGGAGCGAACACAGGGTTCCCAAAAAGCCCCCAAACACTTCCAGGTTTATATTTGTGTTTTTAGCAGCAGATAAAAGTGAAGAGTTTGGAGAATGCAGAGAAAAACCCCAAAGCCATTGACAGCTGGATTGAAAGTATCAGTGAACTGCACCGCTGCAAACCTCCTGCCACAGTCCATTACTCCAGGTGATCCCTGACTTCAGTTTACCGCAATCTGGCAGTGGAAGGTTGTATGTGATCCTAAAGTTTGTTTTTCTCTTCCCTGGCAGGCCAATGCCCGACATTGAGACCCTGATGCAGGAATGGTCACCGGAATTTGAGGAGCTCTTGGGAAAGGTATGTTGTCTGAGTAATCGGTAATTAGCTCAACGCACGGACTTAGAAACCACCTGCCATGAAAGCCAGGTGCCTGCTCCATCCTGCAGCTCAGCCTGCTCGGGTTTGTTCCTCCTCACCACTTCCCCCTTGCCAGAAGTTGGGGGGCAGCCCAACACTGGAATTCCCAGCTGCTGCCCCAGTGGCCTGCGTGTGCTCCCAGGCTCCTGCAGTCCAGGAGCAGAGCTGACGGCCCTGTCTATTCCAGGTGGGCCTCCCGACTGCGGAGATGAGCTGTGACCTCACCGAATACATCGACATGATCTGTGGTGAGCTGGGGAGGCTGTGCTGGGGGCACAATGTGCTGCTGGCCTGGCTCTCTCAGTGAAAGCCAGAGGGCTTTAGCTGGAGGCTCAGCCCCGAGCAGTTGGGATCATTTCCTCTGCCTCAGTGGGAAGTGGCTCTTGTACCACAGGGGGCTGCAGTCCTTGGTGTGCAGAAGCCCAAGTGATGGTGGTCAGTGGGGAGCTCAGCTCTTCCTGACAGGGGTGCAGCCCAGGTGCCCTCACATGCTGCTGCTCTTACCCATAGCTATTCTGGACATCCCCGTGTACAAGAGCCGGATCCAGCCTCTGCATGTCCTCTTCTCCCTCTTCTCGGAGTTCAAGAACTCGCAGGTAGGCAGCTCCAGCCAGGTGCTGCTCACCCAGCTGGCAGCATTGCCTAGCTCCTATTTGGCTTTGTGCAAAAGGCTGGTGGGCCCTGGGAAAGTGTTCACTGCTGGTCCTGTCCCTGGTGCCTCTGCCTGATGCAGGGAGCTTGGCTGCACTGCCAGGCTGGGGCGCTATGTTGTTCAACAGGCCAGCACAAGCCAGAGCATGTTTCCTCGGGGCACTGCTGAGCACACAGCTGATGTGACCAGTGCGTTCATATGCGTCTACTCTGAGCAACAGGAGCCGGATATTTGCACGAGCACATTCTTTTCCCTGCAGCACTTCAAGCCCCTGGCTGATGGGCAGAAAGGCAGGAGCCCACCATCCAACCCACCCTCACAAGCGGCAGAGGCAGAGGTGATGAGCTTTACCTGAAGCTTCACATTAAACCCTCATCTCCTGGATCACTGTCTGCTGCTGGACACCAAAGATGTGCCCAGAGCAGGCTGTGAGATGTCACACAGCACATCAAAAGCCTCCTTGGGTCTTGGAGACATTGCTGGGCTGTTCTGTGTTTGGAGAGTAGGACTTGACTCATTTTTATTGCAGAAGCTGCCTAATGGCTGGTTTTGACTTGTTCCCAAGGACTTCAGCATTAAACCAGCCTTTCCTAGTGTCAGGCTGTAGGTGCTGCGGAGTGGAGGTTCCTTGAGCACACACGGCAAGGGTGGAGCAAACAGGAATAAATTCCACGCTCAGACACAACACTCAGATCTGCCCAGGGTGTTCCTAGTCTGACCTGGGGATCTCGAATCTCTCTACCCCTTATTACTGAGCCCCCTTTTCCTATTCTCGAGCCCTTTATCTCCTCCCAACGCAGAAATAACCTGCACAGCGCCACACAGACGCTCGAGTTTTAGTTTATTGCTGTTGGAATGACTCTCCCCAGCCCCTGTCCTACTGCCTGCCCACCCATCTGTCACAGCAGCAGGGGCAGGGGTGGAGAGGATCATGCAGCAAGTGAGTCACAAACCTGCTAAAGCAAAGCTGGTGCGTGGCTTTACCCTGGGAGGAATCACAGTGCTAGAGCCTGGCTATAAAGAGCTTTGATGCATTTTAACAGTTAATTGGTAAAGTTAATGAGCTACATAAAAACATGCTTTGGCTGACAGGGCAGCTCCTGAGCCCTGCAGCACGCAGTGTAGCACAGAGCCAGGGCTGCTCAGCGCCCACCTCCCAGAACGGCCTCCCTGGCACCCTTCGCTGCCCTGCTCCAGGGGCTGGTACGTACCTGGGGCCGGGCATCTGGCTCATGGGCACCGCGACTCACAGCCAGATCTCGTCGCTGCTTACACTGGGCACTTTGTAGATGCGCCCAGACACTGGGAGCTGGACAAAGCCTGTAGGACAAACAGCTCATTGCCTTTTGGGGCAACCACAGAGCTCAATATCCCACAGCACAGCTTTTGGGGGCCACTCGCCCACCTGCACCCCCTCACCAAGCTTGTTGAGGACAAGGGAGTTCTCCAGCCCTGGCAGGGCACTATCTTCTCCCCTGGCACCAGCTCCCACATCCCTGGGGGAAGCTGCAGGGCAGAAAAGGAGCAAGAGCCAGGACATCTATCCCTCACTAAGCACCTGTGGCCCTGTGTGCCTTGCTGTGCTGGTACATAGGGGTTTTACCTTCATCCTCCTGTGCGAGGTCGCTGAGGTGCAGGTCAGGCGGCAGGGACCGGGTCTGGCGGGGCAGGCGTGCACCCTGGGGCTGCGGATGCTCAGAGCAACTGCAACGGGAGCACCGGCTGGGCGGGCTGCTCCCTTCTGCTTGCCCTGGGCCTGGCACTGGCTTGGGTGAGCGGCACGCCAGGCAAGCAGCACAGGAGCCCAGGCTGAGCAGAGTGGCCAGGGCCAGTGCTGCTCCAGTGGCAACACCCAGGAGTGGCAGCTCCACACGGGCATCCAGCAGACCTGTACAGGGAGTGCAGCCCCCTCAGCACCCCTCCACACAGCCGCTGTGCTGTGCCCACCCCTACAACAGCTACCTGTGGGTAGGAGTGAGGTGGTGGTGATGCCCAGGCTGTTGGCAGCACTGACAGAGAAGTTCTCAGCCACGCTGCTGAGACGGATGTGGAGTGAGTGGTTGGTTAGCCCCGGGTAGCGTGTGGCACCCAGGAGGAGGAACTCGGAGGCGTTGGCCATCACGTGCCCATCCTGGTCCACCCAGGTGATGCTGGCAGGTGGGTTGGCTTGCACCAGCACAAAGAGCACCAGAAGGAGGCCAGAGCCCTCAACCTCCTGGTAGTGGGCACCTACGCGCAGGATCTCTGGCTTATCTGGGTAAAAAACAGAGACAGTGAGATGGGCAGGAGGGATGGGGGCAACACGGACAGAATAGCATTTGTCTTGCCAGGGTGCAGGAGCACTTTCTGCTTTGTCTGTGTGGCACTGACAAGCTGCTCCTCTGCTATGGCTGTGATGGATGCAGGTTATGGTGTCCAGCCTCTACTGGGCTGGACCCCACACACCCTCCCCCCATCCCACTCTGAAGCAGGCCAGTGCTGTGGACCTTACACTGCACGTTGAGGAGGACAGAGGCATTGTAGGTCTCCCCGGAGGCCAGGTCGGTCAGGGAGCAGTTGAGCTGGTGATCAGAGCGCCGGGCAGTGAGGGTGAGGGTGCTGGCAGTGCCTGCAGCCGAGAGGTTGGTTTCCTGCCTCTGGCCGTTGAGGTACCAGGCCAGTGTGGCACCGGGCACTGGCTGGGGGACCCGGCAGGTGAAGGCATGGCTCTCCCCCTCCTGCAGCGTGCGCACTGCCCACGGCTGCCCGTCGATGGTGGGGCCCAGTTCCCCGAGCCCTGCCGGAGAGCCCGCGGCACGTCAGAGCTGGAAGGGGGGTCCTGCTGCCGGAGTTGTGCAACGGACCCCACCACAGCCTCACCTGCCGAGGAGAGCGCCGCGAGGCCGAGCAGCAGGAGGAGGGCAAGGGCAGCCCCCGGCCAGCCCCTTGGACGCCCCATGGCATATCAGCCGTGCTCAGCGCTAGGAGAGAGGCAGCTGAAGCAGGGACATGCGGCCGTCCCCGCACGGGGCCCGCGGTGTTGCAGCGCACAGCAGGGCCGGAGGTTGTGGCCCGGCTGCACCTTACCTGCGACATCACTGCTGCTGTGTCCAGCCCGGTCTGCAGTGCGGCTCTGCGCCTGGGACCCGGCACGCAGGGCCGTGCATGCGGCGCAGGGGCGGGCCCGGCCGAGCTGCGAGAATTCATCCATCCCTCTCGCCGGGCCCCGCAGCTGCCGCCCCCGAGCGGGACCGCTGCGCGCAGCCGCCGGGGCGGGCCGGCTGCACACGAGAGAGGCGGGACACCACCCAGCCCGGATAAGGGGATGCACCTCCCCGTGCACCCCATCTCCCTTTTTCAACTGAGGGGCCCAGCCTCACACCCACGAGGGACCCACCTCAGCGGGGCTGTGCGCGGTGGGGAATCGCAGCACAACGCCCGCAACGCCACAAGCGGAGCCCAAGTGCCAGGGACAGGAGGAGGTTTATTGGGAGCGGAGCACAGCAAGACAAACACAGCAAGGCGCATCGGTACTTCACGTCCCCGGCTATCAGCCAGGAGGAGGAACAGGATCTCTGACACCAGAGATAGACCTTCTCCGGCAGCCAGGACATGCCTGCCTAGGCCACCTCGGGAGCATGGCTCTACCCGGCGCACTCACTCGCTCCCGGTGCCATCGGGGTTGCGCAGCCGCCCCAGCATCTCGCAGAGCATCTGGTTGCAGAGCGCCGAGTATGGGTTCAGCAGCACCAGCTGCCGCCGGGCAAAGGCGCTGCCAAGGCGCGCCGCGCGCTCGAAATCCCGCCGGGCGTCCTCGTCCCGCGCCTGCAGCCGGTGGATGAGGCCACGCTGCACGAAGCTCTGGCAAGCGGCACGGCCGCGCCCACAGCTCAGGCGGATAGCGGTGTCCAGGTCCTGCAGGGCACCTGGTGAGGGGGTCAGAGGTGTCGGTGGGGTATAGGGATACCAGGGGACCGCCCGCTCCTGTGCTGCTCACCTGCCACGTTCCCCCGCAGGCGCAGGGCCTGGGCCCGGTTGTTGTAGCCCGAGGCGCGCTCAGGCAGCAGGCGAATGGCCTCGCTGAACCGTTCCAGGGCCGTGCTCACGTCTCCTGACTCGGCCGCAGAAACCCCCTGCAGCTCCAGGTCCCGCACCTGCTCCAGCAGCTCCAACGGAAAAGCTTCCACTGTGGCAGTGCAAACAGGAGCCCTTGGCTAGGAAGTGGTGGCACCAGGACACCCCACGAGGTGCAAGCCTTACTGCCACCCTACACCTCCAGTCCAGGGAGGGAACAGGCACAGGGCAAGGTGGTGAGGTCCAGCCTCAGGCAGGAGCTGCTCCCAGCCTGCAGAGCCTCCTTCCCTGTCTGCCTGCACACCCCATGGGGACCCCTCCACCAATTCCAGCGAGAACCCAGTGCAGTGTCGCCTCACCTTCCAACTCGACGTCCTCCTCCTCCTCATCCAACCCTGGGATGTCCCCAAAGGGGGTGCTGGGGTTAAAGATGGTCTGCAGGACAGCCCTGTCGTTCGCCGTGGCCATGGTGCCCTCTGTGCCACCGAGGCCTGTGATGGGGCTCCAGGGGCAGGCTGTGGGTTGGTTAATGTTCACACTGCCAGCCCCACCTCACCCTGCCCCATCCTATCACAGCCCAAGCATGAGGCCCCACCACCTGGCCAGTGCCCCCCAGCCAGTGCCCCCCACGTGCACTGGAGCCGAGGGCTCCTCACCGAACACGCTGTGCAACCCTCGGTGCTGGCCAGGGGCTCTTGTCCCCAGCGAACTTCCTGGAGAAGAAGCAGCTTCTCAATCCTCAAGAAGAAATGGAGAGCAGTCCTCTGCAGCAATAAACTTGACATGTTTATTAATTAAACTATCACTTAAATAAAAAAAAGTGCATAGAAAATAAACATGTTTAAAAACTCCTTTGTTTTTTTGTATTTTTACAACTATGTACACTTTTTATTTTTACATTCAGTCTTTTGCAGAGCTTTCAGCATTTTTTTAAACTATTAAAGTATTTCCTTCTTCCCTGTGGCAGGGAGTTAACACTGATGTACTTTAGACACGTTTCCTCTTTTTAAAAAAAAAAAAAAAAAAAAAACACAACAAAAACAACCAGAAGCTTGGAAGAACACAAGAAAAAAAACTGTTTTGTTATACATGATAAGTTGTCAAGAAATGTATTTCTAGAACATAACCTTGCTTTTGCAGAGCTTTTTTTTTTTTTTTTTTTTTTTAACAATTATTCACCTACCTGTAGTTACTAAAGAGACTGTAAGTTCAATAAAAGAAACACCACAAGTATAGTTCTCGGCTGATAGACGAAGCTACTGTACCTCGTTAAAAAGATACCAGGAAAGCACAGAGCACATTTTCCCTATATGCAGGTGGTACCCCAACATTCATAACCAAAACGAGAGGAAGGAAAGGAAGAAACCAAGTTGTACAATTACTGACTGTAACAAGAAGGGCCGGGAAAGGCCGAGCCACCCACTCCTGGCTCCCTGCCCTGGCTGCCAGTGGGAATGCGCAGCAAGGCTTTCCCAGTGCCATGAGCAACTGTAACACAATCCTTATCTATAGTGTTAAGAGAATTAAAAGCCATGGACCGATACTGAACTAGGCTTCATTACACGGTGCATTACTATATTAGTTCCTATATATACTGTATTTATAGTTATAAAAAAAAATTTGCGAGTGTCGAGAGTGGACCAGTGTATGGGTGAATGGCATGATTCTGCACAGACCGTCCTGCTGAAGAACCTGGTATTGCTTTGAAATGAAAGAAAACCAGAAAGAAAAGATACCCAGCCCTTTGCAATGACCCGCTTCTCCTTTAAAAAAAAACCCATGTCGCTTTGTACAAAGAAAAATAAACGCCCTAAGGTTCCTTTTTTAGTATTTTCAGATACCATGATCTGTGTCAGTCCTTATAAAATATACATTCATACATGGGGAGCTGGGTGCTCCCGACCAGCTGGGGCGAGGGCGGGCAGGTGGCTGAGTCCCCGCGGCCATGGCTGCCCCAGCCCTGCTGCCGCTCACCCCACAGCCCGGGCACAGCTCCCTGGGGGTACAGACAGTTTCACTGGCCACAGCGGCTCCTGCCAAGGCAGCCGCGACGGGAATAGCAGCAAAGCGGGCAGCCCGCCGGCTTGGCTGGTCCTGGCGGGAGGAGGATGCCTGGCACTTGGATCTTGGGGGGCTCCCCCCAACCCTCCTTCCCACTTCTCCCCACATGGGGTGGGCTCTGGGCAGCGCTTCCCAGTGGAGCCCCCTCCCGCAGCCAGGACATTGGGAGGCAGCAGCAGCGCGGCGGAGCTGAGCTCTGGGATAAATTCATGGGCTTTGCCACAAGGAGGGCTGAGCCCTCACTCTGCATCAGAAACAGGGAAGGAAAAGGGCCGAGAGCAGCCATGCCCGGGGCCACGGGGCCCAGATCCCCAGAGCAGGCACTCTCCAGGCTCCTCAAGGTATGTGCGTTCCCAAACTGTCAGTGCATCAAATCATCTCAGTAACAAATGCAGCGTCAATTGACTTTGCTTTCAACAGTTACCACCAAATTATCCTCACACAGTGCAATAACGAAAGGAAACTGGCAGGTCGCACCCCTCCAAGTGCTGTTTTTCCTTCTCAGGGCAGAAGAAGAATTCTCAAGACCCGAGAGGTGCAGATTTGGGGTGCCCCTTTAAGAGACCTGGGGAGTCAGCAGGTGTACCCAGTCCCTTCCCCACCAACTGCCGGTGCCGGTTCAGAGCAGCCCTTGGACCCAGCGGCTCCTGGAATGGCCGCTGACCTACCCCACAGGAACAGCTCTGGAAAGCAAGAGCGCTCCCTGCTTTCCCTTCTGCGCGGAATAACCCATCTGCCTTTGAGGGAGAGACTAAAGGAGGAGGTGTGTGCCCCAGACTGGCCTCCCAGAAAAGAGGCATCGAGGGTCACGTCTCTCATTCTGTCTCGCTTTTCCTTTTTAAACCCTCGCCAGATGCTAGTGCACGACAAGGCGGAGTCACGACTCCTGCCCGGGGCACAGACTGTCCTCCCACAGAGCCAAACTCCTCCCACACTGGGCAGATCTCCCTCCTGCCCCTGTCCTTAGGGGCAAGTACAGTTTAAGGTCCAGCCAACCCTCCTGGAGACAGTTACTGAAGTCAAAAAGGCAGAACAAGAGTAGAAAACAAAACTAAAGCAAACCCCCCCTCTGGAGAAAGGCTCAGACTGTGTCCAGCCAGGTATTTCCTAGAACCGTCCTATGAAAATAAAAAAATCATTAAAAAGAGATTCTCTTAAATTAGGATAATACCACTGTTTAAAAAGCCTCGTCATAAGTGCTTTCCCCTATGAAGTGCTTCTCATAGAAAAATATACAAAATATATTTACATTTATAAAACCTTAAATACTAAACTGTAAACAGAACAGAGCAGAATCCAATGTCGTCGCTGTCAGGGGCTCTCACTTCTCTCTCGGGTTTTGCTCTGAGGCACAGGGCAGACCCTGTGGGGAGGAGGACTTGCGCCACTCCAACCAGGACGGTGGTGTCCCTAGACTCGCCCAGACCCTGCTTGGTTCCTGAGCCACCACCTCACGTTTCCTGTGGGTTTTGGGATGCTGTGTGGACAAAGTTGGCTGGTGCTTGGCCTTGTCTTTGCAGAGAACTTTGGCTCCATTTTGGTGCCCTTCCCACGCCTTTCGTGGAACACGTGACTACACCCAGACAATGAACCACGACAGGCACCTGCCCAGGGTCACTCTTCTGCCTGCCCCCCTGGCCCTGGGACAGCATGGCATGGCGGAGCAGAGCGGGTGCCCCCACACCATTCCTTCCTAGCTCCTGCCCTACAGCGGTGTGTGGCTGAGCCCGGGGCCACCTTGCACCGCCCCTGTCTCCTTAAGACTTCTGTCCCATCCCTCAAACCAGTGCCACAGTGGCCAAGACACCGCTGGCTGGCAGTGCCAGGAGCTTGCTGAGCAGAGGAGGATGCCAGTTGCTGCAGACAAGACCCTGAGAGGAGCACTTCCCTCCCACACAACCAGGGAGGGCAGTGCTGAAGTGGGAACCTTTGCTGGCAAAGATTTACAGCACCCCAACTGTTGGCACAAGCCCTCTCTGCCAAAAAATGCCAGGAGTTCCCCTGCTCTCAGGCAGGGATTTCAGAGAAAGATGCCAGCCAAACTCCCTTCTGTCTAGTTGGGGGCTGCTCTGTTCTGCTCTCCTTGTGAAGGCAGCTGAGCCAGCCCCCTGCACCACGGAGCCCCACGCAGGCAGGGCAGCCTCCCGCTCATAGATAGTGTTTTGCAGACACCCAGTCCCTGGGGGGAGAACTGTCAGCAAGACACAGCCCCTCTTCCCA